TGTCATTAAATAAATTAGGACTGGTACTTTGAGATTTAATAAAGGAACCACAGTTTCTTATACTTTTGTCTAGGACATAAAAATCTATTCATAATCTATATTTCTAAATATTATGTTTTACGAGACTAATTTCCATGCTAGTATTTCATTCATGTCACTTGTTTATTACAGCAGTAGAAATACTGTTTCATTACAAAAGTTTGTAATTGTACACCATTTGTTTAGCATCACTAACTACAGGTTAGTTAGAACTAAAGGGAAGTTTAGAAACTATTGGTTATTAATTTATACTCCACAAATGAAATAATAGCCTATTCCGATGCAACCTATTTGAACAATGTTTATTGCCTAATAAGTAGTAAATTTGAATGTCGTGAGTATATATTCCCAACACAATGTGAATTATGTCTATGGGATACTTATTCAGAACAGTGTACACACGATAAAATTGTTTTTACACCACTGATTAGATACATATTTACATTTCACCCATAAGGTACTTGAACAATTTATGTCAAACTACAAAGGTGATAAAAATAATCACGTGAGAAGTAGACAAGAATCACAATCGAACGAGTTTTTATGTAATTTAACCAATCGACTACGTCAAATGACTGTAATGCATCTGAAAGCGTTTGATATTAAAAATGGAGGCCGATATAAACTAATTTTTTATGTAATACAAACAAATTATCCAGAAGGAAAATCATCATTATCTAGCACAATGATAGCAAGTTGTGGATTATTTAATATAGAAACAGACTATTATCTATCTGAAACCATAAGAACTATTTTTGGTCATTTAATTGTAATTGTTTACGCCTGTTATCATGAATAATACAATTAATGACTTCGTATTAATGAATAAATTTGTTAATATTTTCAATTAAAAACCAAGGGCAAATCGAAATAACAAAGCTAACAGATTTAATTTAAGTACAAGTCAAGATTGATCGGTGGGACTGTAATTTATAGATGTCCCTTGAGCGACGCCAGTGACTTTGAGAATACCCGCCTACTAACTATGACCAAATGAGGGTTATAAACATGAGTGAGGAATTAAAATTAGGAATCACAGTTGATGGTTTTCATCACGAATTGACATCAGCTATAATACTAAAATTATATTTAGCCAAGTGGATGAATAAATCTCGCGCCAAAATCCAAAACTTGTTATCTTATATCTGATTGGTTCATTCATAAATTATAGTCTCGCCGAATGATCGTTTAAAAAAAGTACTACATTATAGTGAAGTATTAATGAAAAACAAAACATTTAATGACTTTAATATGATTGAACAATGAACAAATTCTAAAATAAACTACTAGATAGTAAGTCATATAGATTTATAAAACACTGTAAATATCACGTTTTAGTTCCTAGTTGATGTGCACTACTTCACTTCTGATAGATTTGGTAACTTACTAAAACTTAAGAAGTGTGATTGCCGAATAAATTAAACAGTTTGTGACTGATGAACATTAACTGAACTTGATGTTAATAAATCATCATAACAAGTAAATCAGTGGTTGGTTTTATAATGATTATATATTTTAGATTACTCCATACAACAGAAATTTGTTATCCTGAGACGAACCCTTGAACAAAATTGTAAACTAAGCCAAAAATTCAAGAATGATAATTAAAATAAATACAGAAGGTTGAAACTTTTACGCAAAACTTGTAGATCAACTCGATGCTTCCGCTACATGGCTCACTACATACGAATGGTGATATTAAAACTTGTAGTTTTTATTCACCTGCCATGAGTTGCTCGTTAAGTAATGGATAAATACGATATGCACTAAGCACAAATCAATACTTATGTGAATTAATCATTATCAAACGGAATTCCTTGGAAAATAAATTTATTCAAAAGCATTTGACGCATATAATGATCGATCGTTTAACCTCGTTTGATTTAGTTAAAATTCGAATGACAATTTCAATACAGAATTCAGGGTTTTGGGAAATGTTGCGTAATTTCAAGTTTGTTCGGTGGTCGGCAAGTCAGCGTTAGATATGCCTTGTCTAACACTATAAGTAATCTATTCTGAAGGCAAACGACTTTTCGCCCTCTTGTTAGTTCAATACTCAACGATTACTTAAGGAATTGCTGAATTGTTTCAGAATTCAATAATAAATTGTCAGTAAAATCTGTAACAATACATTCATATTCAAGTTACTTGTCAGTAGATTTTGTTTTCCATCGTCTCATAATATAACACACAGGACATAATGTTAATAAACTATGTGAAATATACCGGATTGTATATTGCATAAACGGAATCATGCCAATAATTATGAAGAGTAACAATTGATGAATTACTTATCATTGTTACAAAGATAAACTCGGACACATCTTTCCAATGGAAATAGACTATTTAATTTTCCATTAGCGTTGTTAGCTGAATAGTCAAGATTTTATGTTTCACAGAACTTGGTAAAATTTATTTTCGATATGACTGTTCAGCCGATCAACGAAGTACGCCTTGAACGATGGGCAGAATTTTTGAGTGGCAGTCCAACTGATCTGCTTCCCCGACAATATCGATCAGACTGTCCAGTCCTGCATGGCCCCTGACGACTTATACACCAAACAAGGCGGAAGTCCGCAAGGAACACCAACTCTTGGAGCGCTACAAATCACCGGGCCAATGTGACTTAATTCCGGTCCTTTTTAAGGATATTAGTGGTTTTCTGGTTAAGGAACTGGCTGAATTGTTTGCAAAGGTCTGACAATTAGTGTTCTAACATCATGGAATGAGTCGATAGTTGTCCCTATATTTAAAAAGGGTTCACATCGCCTATGCAACAACTGTCGAGAGGTAAGTCTACTTTCGATTGCGTTCAAAGTATTGGCTTCCATCATACTTCATAAATTTTTCAAAACCGGAGGAAGATTGTCTCGCGAGTTGCAGGCTGATTTTCATTCTGGTCGAGGATGTATTGATCATATGTTCACTCTCCAGCAAATGTTAGAACACCGTCATACTTATCATCGGCCAACAATCGTAGTGCTTCTTGACATCAAGGCTGCTTTCCATTTGTTGGACAGGGCTGTTCTCTGGGATTGTCTATTGAAGAAGGGTGTGCCTGAGAAGTTTATCAACATCCTAAAAGCCCTATATACAAACACCTCAGGTAGAGTGAGGACATACAACCACCTTTCTCCATTGTGCCATTCACGAAGTGGGATTAGACAGGGCTGCCAAATTTCACCATTCTCCTTCAACTTTGCCATCGATGACATTCTGGAAACAGCTCTGATAGGTGTAAGTAATGGCGGTGTGTATTCGTTGACTGGAGAAAGACTTCTCGACCTTGAGTATGCGGATGATATTGTCTTACTGTGCGATAATGCCCAAGCCATGAAATCCGCACCTAATCAGTTGGCAATTAGTGTCCGTAGGTATGGTATATGCTTTGCACGTTCAAAGTACTTTTACAAGACTGGCAGGACCCTGATCCTGCACTCACCCTGGGTAGTGAGCAGACGTCCAGTAACATCACCATGTTAGTAATGCAGAGATTTGTTATCGTGCGTTCGGGCGCAGAGACGATAATCAACTTGGTATCACCATTTTGAAACATCGACTTCGGTGGCTTGGACATGTTCTACGAATGTCGTCCCAGAGAATTCCACGTCGCTAATTATCTGCCGACTATGGGAATGGTTGGAAAAAGCGTAGACGTGGTCAATGTATGACATGGTGTCGTGGTATGAAAGAAAGCTGTACAGGCCTGGCTTGTGTTGGTCCTTCACTACTTGATTGGGATCCTAGAGATGGTGCAACACAGTGACTAGAAACGTTATCAGATATGGCTCAGAATAGAAGTCAATGGCGATCCTGCTGTAACCTTTTCTTTCTTCATAAAAAGTGACCGTAACTTCTTTAACTGAAGGAATTCTTTCTGGTTGTATCTTTCTGTTTCCCCCATTATTATTTCAGTACCATACACTAATCTGTGGTCGTTATTGTTTTTTTTCTTCTCTCTTATACGCACCTTACATTCTTTATCTCTTCCCATTCTCATTATTATTGTGTGGCGCATATGAATCTGGTGCCCCCTTGTACCTATATCAGATATGACTCAGAATAGGAGCCAGTGGCGATCAAGCTGTAACTTACTTCATAAAAAGTGACCGTAACTTATTTAACTGAAAGAATACTTTATGGTTCTTGCTAAATGAACTGTTTCTCCCATTAATATTTCACTCCCATACACTAATTTCTGTTCGTTGTTCTCCTTTTCTTGTACGCACTTTACATTCTCTATCACTTGACAACCTTATTGTTCTTGTGTGACGCATATGTATTTGGTGCATCCTTGTACTAATGTATGTGTATACGAATAAAATAAGACAAAAGACAAATAATATTGTATTTAGTGACCATAGACGAAAGTTCGACTCAAAGTAAAAGGTTAATAAAAAACAGCATACAATATGCAAGTTAGTTACGGTAAATAAAACACTAATGTTCTATAGCATTAGCTCTCATGACTGCTATAAAGTTAAGGCCCCCAAATGCCCTGGTACGGCAGAGAGTGGAGTGAGTCCGCTCTCCCTCTCGAAATGCTCTCACATGGCCACGCGTATATAGCCTCTTCCAGGGAAGTCCTACTCACAACCTTCTCGTGGCGGGGGTGTTGTTTACGAAATTGATAAAACGAAAAGCGAATGTCCGGCGCTTTAACTGGGTTGGTGGATATGGAGAGTCCACCTAGAGGAGTTGGAAAACCCTGATTCCAAACCAATGGTGCACATGGGCTCCAATAACCTGAAGGAACAAATGGCGTATGAACCAATCGTTGGACACCGGCTACCATGGGAATACATCTCCTTAGGTTGTTCCACTGCCTTGTGAATCAGACCTTTAGGTCAAAGGTTCGGGGTGTGGCCCCCTAAGAAAACCACCTGCTTAGGTTTTGGCACCCGGGCAGTATCATAACCCTCACAAATATCAAATGAGATTTGTGTGGCGCATATGTATTTGGCGCCTCCTCGTACCAATATCTATGTGTTAAAGTAAATAAATAAATAAATAATACATAAAAGCTAATACCGTAAATCATTTAGTTGAAAAAATTTAATGCTTAAGTTTTTGATAATTATCTAATGAGTTGACAAGATTTTACAATAATTATCAGCTTATTATATAATGTTATTGAAAGCAAACAATGGAAAGAATGTGTCAATAAATTCGTGATAATTGATCACACTTTGCTTTTACTAAATTAATAGATTGAGAAAGAAATAGTTGACGAAGAACAAATGCATTTAGAATTGGTGTTCTTCATCTTATTTATTCATCGATTTTCATAGCACTGAATGCATAATTTAGTGATAAATTACTACTCCAACGCCATCGACGACTTAATGGGTTATATAACATTCCACTGAGTTGACGCGGTTGCAAACCACCTAAAGAAGTAAACAAAAAAGCAACTAGAAAGTAAGGTTAGAGTTAAAAAGTTTATATACAGCTAAGATCGGTTTGTAATTTCAAATATGAAAATACTACAACCTCCATAAATCCCCCATACCAATATAATCATAAGCTAACTAGTGACTAACTGCAAGATATAACTTCTGGAGTTCTATTGAGAATCCGTGACAAGTGGAGTTTAATCCGTGTTGGGTGAGAAAGTTATCGACCACAAGCAATGGATGAAGGTTTGTGCAAGATTGTGGATTGATTGAAATTATACATCAACACAGTAGAATAATGCCTCAGTGGTTTAGAGTTTAAGCATTCGTGCGTTAGACCTATAGCGACTCACGTGCAAATGGGTTTATTCTCATTTAACCCAGTTAAGCCCTTTTTGCTAACTTATTTAGCGGACAAAGCCATCCGCACTATAACAATTTATTGTACCCTTATTATTATTTTGTGCTTGTATGAAATACGCATGCTTGAATATTGCTTACGGCCTACGCATTTGTTCACTCTCCTAGTCTCACTACTAACCGCTTATTTGATTCGATTACTCATTAATTTCACATGCTATATATATGTCCATGTTATTCATATGGTTGATTCTGCTTTCTCGCTCGCTTGATTGTACTCGATTACTTACATTCGCTCAGTCGCTCGCTTGCCTGTTTGCCGTTCGGCACAACTATTAATGCTCGTTTAATGCATCTGTAATTTTGGACATCTGTGTGTGTGGTCTCGAAATAAACGTAATCAACGCTTCGTATTCGCCTTCTGAATAATATACCGTTGGGGTTAAATAGGATGGTTATCAAGACGAATTGTATACGAAGTTTAAGGGATATATCGAATACCGACCACCACAGACCGAAGATTCTGTGCCCGATCTCCACAAACTCTTATACTAATATACATTAGTGTTTGACTACTTAAAAGATTACATTATCCTCAACCTAAAATGGTTATTACCATGATGGTTAATTTTAGTCTTATAAATATTGTTATTACAATGATTATTATTCCGTATCATGGTAATCAAGACAATTAAATAACTAAAAAGAAAACATAAATAAAATGGAATAAAATAAAATCCACTATTAGAACTTACGCTTGATACAAGCAATCTGTAACCGACTAGGTTCAATGAATTTATTCCAATCATGAGTACCACGTGGAACAATACGAGCTACATATTCAGCTACACCAATTCCTAGTAGTAATGAAGCGGTAGTACGATTTATTGTAGTTACGAATAACATTCCTTCTAACTAAGAAAGAGATTATAAATAACATCAATTAAATAACAGAATGTAATTGAAAAACACAAAAACAAAAACATCAACAAAATAATTCGAAAATGTACAGAGAGCAACGTTTATTGACAGTTTAGTATTGAGAGTTAAAATACAATCTGATATGGTGAGTAGTGAATAAATCGATTAAAGTGGGAATGGCATATAAAGTTAATATTTTTTCCCAACTGTCTATGACATATAATCACATCCTAAGAAGGGGCAATTATAAGACTTAGTCAATTAGTTCGATCCGTTGGTTATAGACCCCTAATTGTACGGTAATTGGTCACGTAGTAAGTTAGTGATTAATTGATATTAATTACTACTCAGTTCCAAATTACACAAATCTGACTGTCAATAAATCACATAAAAAGTGGTGTATTCACACATTATTTTGATTTATTTCCGGGTTCAAATAGATATATATTGCTAGCCTTTGTATGTTCACTATACATCATCAGATTTGAAGGTTTCAGTACCAAGGGACAAGTAAGTTAAGCACATCTAGATATAACAAGTGACAAACACTACACCATCCATCAATTATGTCCAGTTTAATGGATTCAAAGATGAAATATACCGGAAATGTAAGTGTTATACAAGTTGTTAGAGTCCTATGCTACTCTGTAGCCAAACATCCATAGCAAATGAATGTGGGTTGAACGCATAAACTACAAAATTCTAAATTCGTGTGAAACTAATCAGCACGTTTTCAATTCATTCATATTTATTACGACAAGTATTACTGTAGTGGACAGAACACGGGCCGGGACAATCAAATGTATTTAACACAAAATTACAGGACTTGTTAATAAAATCTAACAATCATAAAGTAAATGCTTAATTTGCAAAATGTCCACCAATTGTCTCAAAATGAATCAGACTTCATTGTTCTTGCATTTTTATACAAATTGCATCCTGTTTCCATTCTTTACTGTTAGATCCTCTTGTCTCTCTGCTGCCAGACCTTCTGTTCACGACTAACATCATATACTACTTATGTCAATATAAGTAACACACACCACATTATAACTGAAGTAGATTTCAAAATAATTAGGTCGTGTAACTCGACCGTTGTTGCTACCTTAACGTGGTGGTCGGGGTGAACCAATCAAGCTATACTGACTGGAACAATCGTTCATAAAGGTCCTACTATGCCAAACAGGTCGGTTGAAGAGCGGTAAGACTAAAAGCAGCAAACCCAAGGTCCGAGGACGAAGTCGTACGGCCGACTGCACAAACGTATGACGCCAAACAACCAGTATAACAGCGATGCAGCATTCTCATAAGGAAGGGTGAAGTTAGAAGAGGTCGACCCTAAAAATGCACACCTTGTTCTACGCTATGGATTTCCGTTTTAGACAGTAAGGTCTCAACAAGTACGGAGCTAACACGAAAATTACTCACGCAAAGGTCGTGTGTGATCGACCTCAAGACGTTATCCCTTGAGCACTGCGGTCACGTTCGTAGGTTACTAAGACCAACTCGGACCCCAATCTCCTTTTCAGGTACCTCTGAAAACTCCTTTCACGGTGCGGGAAACCGGAAAGTAATAACCGCCATCATACCTCTAACAGCACTCAAAGGTCGTGTAACTCCGTCAATATTGATTGAAATCTGGAAAAAAATCACTTATACACATTGATGAGTACAAACTTCGGTTTACCAATTTGGTATTTTCATTCTTCATATAAATGTCTATTATGGAATGATTTTGATAAATATTATCAGTATTTTTAGACACGAAAAAAGAAAAGAGAGTATGAGGATAGAGTCACGTATTCTTAAGCTGTTACATTGATGGCGATCTTTCACTGGCAAAAGTATTACACTGATTCAGATGAAGTTAATCGGCCATTTGTCTTTGTAGATCTTCCGTCATAAAGCCGAGTAATGCGAGCAAATCTTTATTATATTTCAGGTATTCCAATGAAAATGATTATGATAAATCGTATTCTACAAAGTTTCTAAAACATTTGTGGTGGATTAACTTCGTTAATCAATCACCTTGATAACCGTTATTATAGAAAACTCGACGGTGTTTGAATTCAGAAGGCAGTAAGAAGCGGCGACTACAGTTTATCAGCGGATAGCACAGATAAAAAACTTACAAACACATCGAGCGAATTGGAGTGGATAGGCTCTTGTGTGTGCTAGCGAATACAGAGGCGAATTCGCAGTCAAATAGAATCAAGGCGTAGCTATGCAAGGCAATTCAAGCATCTATATACATAGGAAAGAGAGTGATTCATCGAGCGATATTCAAGTGATTAACATTTAAGCTAGAGAGATATGTGCGTAGGTTGTTACATGTGATCAAACATACATGTTTATATAGACATGATAGTGATCATAATAATACAAAGAAATAGACGAATTGTTACTGTCTGAATAGAATTGTCTGTTAAATAAGTTAATAACAATTAACTATAATAGAAATTAATCGTAGGAGTGTTGCTATACTTGGTTTGAGATATCTCATAAACAACACATTACTGGTCTTTGATAAGCGTACTAAAAATACACTATCTCGACAACTGTCGTCATTATCAAACAACGAAGCTATCACTTATAGACTTGAAAGCATAATTCATTTTATATCGAATGGCGAATGAATTTGCTGTTTTTCGAAAGCGAAGTTGACAGCAAACAATATTTCTTGACACAATGTTTGTTGACTTTTAGTAATATTAATCAGAATTTGCATGCAGATAAGGTATGGAATTTTCGAGATCGACTATTTCTAATCTCTTGCTTTCGTTGTGAGAAGGTAGATTCGCTGCAGATGCTGACTTCTGAGGGAAACATCCTACTGACGCCATAATTCAGTACAATGAGCAGCACGACTTTGTCCTCGAACCATGAGTTTTCTGCTTCTAGTTTTAACGTTCCCTAACCGGCCTCCCTAGGATGGTAGGAACAACTGTTTCACCTAATATAGCTCGACCGAGTCATTACGATACGAAAGCCCGACCACTACGGGGAAGCTAGCTACGATCGAAGTTACCGAGTACAGTGTTAGTGTATCAAAACGTATTATCTCTTAGTAATAAATATATCTCAATGAGCAGAAAATTGTATTTCTAACGTTTTATTACTTAATGTAAGTCACTTCTCCCGAGCATACAAATAACCGATTGTGACTAACGTTAAATCACGAAACGTCAGAAATACCATTTTCTATTCATTGGGATATTAGAAAAGTATATTTGTTATTTACTTTTTAGCCAATGCTCAATTTATTTGAAAATATCAAGTCCCACCTTGGTATTGGTATCGTATATTATTATGTGTGTAAATGCAAAACGTTCTTTTTTCAACATTACGACACACTGTTAATATTGTTTGTGAAGAGATTTCTCCGTGAATGCTGTTTCGTTTATTATCGAAGGATTTGAGAGTAAATATGATCTTGATGAACAATCGGAATTAAAGAACTAAAAACTATTATATACATATTCAAGAATAATATCTATGAAATATTTCTTACTTTCAAGCACTGTTTTAAACTGTTCAACATATCCTCCCAATCAGTAACGTGTTCTAATACTTCAGACGCAACAACTGCGTCGAATTGACATGGATACTCTTGACTAATTGATTGCACACTAGTAAGTTTATATGTAGGTTTATGTAAATCTGGATGATCAACCCAGCGATAAGATGTAGCTTCAACATGTTCTTGTGCTACTTTTATACCTTCTTCTACTAAGTCTATGCCCAAAACTTCTGCTCCCAACATAGATAGTGCCTAGTAAGGAATTATTCCAAGATAAACAATATGAAAGATTTATTAAAAGAAATATTAATTGAAAAAATTAAGCGATTTAGGAAACTAAAGCTACTTTTATGAAACATCTTAAAAAAGTGATGAGTTTTTTCGACAGAAAGAAATATCATCTAACTGAGTTATCTTCTAAGTAAATAATTAGATAAAATCTCAAATTGCACGATAGACGAATAATGACTGAACTCTTGAAAGCTAAAAAAATATGTGGGTAACTGGATAAAATGTAAATAAATCAACTGTATTATAATTATTCGTATGGCAACTTAGTGAATGTATACTATGATGATCGTTCTAGATATTAGGCGGTTGGAAGCAATCGACAGGAAACCATGGGCCAAAGTTTCGTCCCAGTCGGTACTCTGCAGAAAGGCGTACCTGGAATCAAATACACTAAAACGTTCCGAATCAATTATAAATATCACAGTGATGCATGAGGTAATTCAAAGTCCTAAAAACGAAGTTGTAACGTTTAAGATTGTGTAGCAGAGAGACATAGGCTCGAATCCCATGGGGAGAATCAGTCTCATTAAGATTGTCAACTAGAACGAAACGTTGATCCAGGGTCTTTCGAAGGCTATCCCCAACCACCTAGTATATAGACATAGTGCAAACAGTTTCGAGTCACTTAGACTAGTGGATGTCGTCGTTATATTAACAAAAACAATCTGCCTAAAATATAGTAAGCATTTTTATGAAAGTACAACCCTTTTAGCGTTCTGAATGAAGCTTTTCAAATGTTTGGTGTATGTTTCGTCCTTTAACATTTCAAAAAGTAAATTTATAACTAGTCAGCAAACGTTCACAATATAACCATAAAAATTAAGGGATGATTTTGATGACTAATTTGTCAGCCTGTAAAGTAATGTGTTATTCGAAGAGTTATTAAGTATGTTACATTGTATAACTGCTTTGAAGATGACAATAAATTATCAAGATGATATTGGCAATCAGGTTAAAGTACACAATGTGTTTTAACTCGAAAAGCTTTGTTTTCTCAAACGATATGAATCATTGATTGAAGACAGATACCAATGAAATCTGTAACCTAATACATGATACGATCCCATCCATTCATTTGTATAAATTTCTCAATCCTTTCTAATAACCAACTATATCGCGAACTCCTGAGAGAATTTACATTTATGTACAAATCTGTGAATTATAGTGAATGACATAAACCACAGTCAACTTCTGATCTGACCACTTAAAACATTTTTAATTTTATCTTTAGACCGATGGGATTTTGTCGACTTCAAAAACTAGATAACCTGACATTGACTGTGACTAAGCGATCAGTCGGTATAAATACCTTAGCTCTCTAAGAGGCCAGTCACGACCCGAATAGCTCAGTAGTAAATTCTTAGAATGTGACATTAAGTGACAGGGCACATATTAGATCCCTAAATATTACAAATATGTCCTGAAGACGACCTTCAGCTAGCAGAGAACCAGGATTGATAGCTCCAAAGATGATCACTTTCAGTCAACTTACACTTCATCATGAAACCTTAATAAAACGAAACACAGACTGACGACGTTCAGAGAAAGTTGTTATTATGAGAACATGTTGATCAACCCACCTTGATAATCAACAGTTGATTGATTCTGGTATTATAAGAATGGCTAAATGGGCACTTCTAAATAGTGTACGAAAAAATTGAACGACTAGATATTTCATACAGTGAAAACTTCGAATACAGATAAGACATACTTTTATAAATGCAATTTATGCAGATACATTAATGACCGATAAATAAATGCAAACGTGATAAGAAATAACTCACTTCCGCTAGAATACCTCCACCACAACCAACATCTAAAATCTTCGTACCTTTCAAAGGTAAACAAACTGAATCAACTGTAGATAATGTAGTTAATGGACAAAGACCATTTTGAATAAATGGTACACGCAAACGATTCATAGTATGCAATGGCTGTAAATCTCCTTTGAAAATAAAATATATAAGTAGAAAGTAGTTTTATCCGTTTACAACAATCGTATGTAACTATCACATATTTATACGATACTAGATATAAGTAAATGAACAGTGAAACCAAGATGAATGCAACCTGTCAACAAATGAGATAATGTATGAAGAGATGCAATTAAATAACTAGACACGATGTGTAACTAATAAAAGGAATTAGTACATTGTATTGTTTGTAATAATGAGTGCATATTATTTTCTACAATTTAAATTCGACAGTGATTATATTGGTAACAGGCCCCCAAACGCCCTGGTACGACTAAGGGTTGGGAGAATCGGTTCTCTCTTTCTCTCCAAATGATATCACATGGCCACGAGTATACAGCCACTACCAGGAAAGTCCTGCTAACTGCTTTCTCGAGGCGAGGGGTTTTCTTACGAAATTCAGAAGATGAAAAGCGCATGTCCGGTGCTTCAACTAGGTTGGTGGATATAGAGGATACACCTAAGGGAGTTGGAAAACCCTGACTCCAAACCAATGGTGTATATACGTTCCAAGATCCTGAGGGAACAAATGGTGTATGAACCTATTATCGGTCATCGGCTACCATGAAACTGCATCTCCTAACGTTGCTCCACTGCCTTGTGGATTAGACCTCTAGGTTAAAGGCTCGGGAAGCAGTCTACTAAGAAAACCACCCGCTTCAGTTTGGGCGACCGGGCAGTATTCTCACCCTCACACAGATCGAATGGCGAAATGTGGTGCATATATATTTGGTGCATCCTTGTACTTTCAACTAGCAGGTCACAGGTTTAAATCCTGTTTCATATAATTCAGTGAGGACAGACAAGTAGTATCACCAACACACTGCGTGATTCAAAGCCAAATACAAAAAAGTGTACTTGGTTAGTTAGTTAATGTACTATCTGAACAACCAATAGTGAAAACAAAAATAAAACCAATAGATTACAAAAAAATGTACAAACATAACTAAACTGATTAGGATGACTTAATTCAATGCCACATATGTATCCAATATTTAATGAGTTCCTGATATGTACCATTTTGTCTCATAAAATCAATTATAGTGCACACCACAATTTTCTATTTATAGAAAGGCAGAACCTCTGGTGATATTACTTATCCGTAAAGTCCCTAACTTTTGCCACACTCTGGCACAATCAAAAGCACAACTTTGTAATTTCGAAAGGATCTACTTGGCTCTAATCTTATATTTATCCAACTAGGACCTTAAGACACAAACGGTACATTTAATAGAGTAGTCACGACAGACCATCCCAACTTTTGTATCTAGGTAGCAAATAAGGTTATTATTATTATTATTATTATTAATGGCTTTATTCAATATATTTTTGGTACAACATAGAATTCTCAGCACAAAGTATTTCAACAAGTTTGCTTTTCTTATTTCTTCATCTATCCTGACGATAAATACTGAGTGATCATCAGTTAGATGTTAGCAGTTCAAGAATTGATATCTGAACAATGATCATTCTTTTCAATGCATATTGACATCCATCACAATGTCTCTGACCATACTTTTTTGTAACTCGTACGGCGAGAGATCGTAAGCTTTTCATAAACACGCAAAAGACACATAACTTGTCCAGATATGTTGATGTCAAAAACAGGTAACCCAGATATTCAAGAAGGTCGCCAAATTTAAGCTAACTTGAAATATTATGGACTGAAGAGATAAACTTATGAAGATATCTTAAAGTAGACTAGTACATTTTAAAAAAGAATTTGAAGAAATTTACGAATTCACCATTAAATTTAAAAGAACCTTCTCAGAAACACGTATCATTTACCGATCTCAATGGCAGAAAACAATTGCGAAAGACAAAACATGCAATTTAACAGTTCATGAAGCATATATACTTGAGATGTTGCTTAAAGTTAATAGAAAGATTTATAAATACACCACACTTCCTGTAAGTAAATAATAGGCACTTCATTGATATTTGAGTTGATAAAATCTATGAAGCTACATGTTTACTGTGATTCAGTCCCCAAATCGTTTATATATCCATAAACTATGAAAAAGTTTGTGTTTGGTGATTAGTTCGTCAAATATTCTAGTTACTGAGTCGCAATATAAATATAAAACATATATCTCATGTGAATAACATATACCTTATATACCAAGGAGATTTCAAAGTATTCTACTTTGAGATCAATTGTTTGAAAGAGCGTCAATGATACTACTTGACCAGTAAAATCAAAGTGGTTTGAGATCAGAACATGAAGCGTACTGGTTGAGAAAGGTAAATGCTTTAGCCATTAAGTCAGTGTTCCACAAAAACAGTGGACAAAACTACTGATTTTCAAAGTAGCATAAAATGAATATATAACCTTTTAAAAATATACACAACAGTAAACAGGATCAAGAAGACCTTTAGGATCACCTGTCAAGCCTTATGACTTAAAATCCACACAATATTCAAACATGTACAAGTAAACAAAAAGCAGTATCGAGACAAATAGTGAGAAATTACACAGCACTCACCATCATAGTCCCACCAATGCTGGGCGAAACGTTTGAAGTTAGCGCCTTCTGTTTCGTCGACTTGCATACTGGAAAAATTCTGACAACTCTTCATTCCACTGAGGGATGGAAAACATTTCTGCTTGAGTAATTTCACAGTAGGAAACAAGTAATGACGTGCCATAGTTTCTTAGTTCTGTAGAGAAAATACAAAAAGATCCACCAAGAAGAACATCAATAACAGCATTAGGGACTAGTTAGATGAAAACACTCCATAGCATCGGATTTAATTTGGTTTAAAAGAATATTTCTCGGTACGCTACAAGCTAGGTAAATGGATTCCCACTTAATTTGATGAACATCAAAAGATCACATAAAGAATCCTACCATTACTTGCATCAACCTAGAAGTTAAGGATTGATGCACTGATAACTTAATACACATGACATTGATCACCACTACTCAGTGATCAATCAATTGTGATTGATGCACTGTATTTTGAAAACGAGTTGGAATCAGCTGACCGGAAACAGCATAGATATTAGTATAAGGAAGTAATGAAACATAAAACTGAATTCAACAAATTTCAAACTAACTTTTCACAATAAAAACAAACGACGGTCAGAGATTCGATTGAAAACAAAGTAAGCTTAAGGGAAGAAATAAATACTTCAAGACTATCTGAGGAATAATTGAAAAAATCAAGATGGGAAGTAGACTATATAATTCGAATAAATGTTTCTAATTCTCATAATAGTTACGAAGTTGAGAAAGTATTGGATGGGAATGATTGGGAATTAACAACACGAACAATTTAATCCGAGCGTCTACAGATTAAAACTTATCAATGATAGATATTTTAAGTCTCAGAGAATCACACAGAAACAGTCCGAATATGCAATTTACAATTTTTCGCTCCACAATAAATTCTATTGGGAAATATGCAAGAAATTTACAACAGATTTAGTGAATGCTACTACGGTAGTTATAGTCATCAAGATTGAGAAGTGATTTCTTTAACCAAGCAAAATCGGTACAGTTGGATGATCCAATTCCTAAGTAATTTTAGGTCTAATTAGAAGTGATCAGCCACAAATCGCTCGCTTTTCTACTCAAAAACATATCAGATATACTTAAATATTATTAGTCAAGCTGTTACATTGAGTTTTAGAATGTAATTTGCTACTATATAGAAAGAATCTCGTAACATTTCAACGGATTAGATTAACTTTTTTATAGTTTCTGATAATTTGCACTTGTTCGCATCTCTAAAAGAAACCTAAATACACTGTAATATATTTTTCATCATATCACTACACACAGAGTTGGTGAAGTAGACGCTTAACCTGAATTTTACTAAGTAAAGACGTGAAGAAACATAAATCTATACATGAGAATTATACATTTAAGACATTACTTAACGTTGTCAGTTTGAAGGGAAATACAGTAGAACTTCTCATTCGTAGAGAATAACAGTTCTGTATAAGTGCAAGGAAAATATGTCTGATCTACATGGTTAGTTCTGAACATCCCGATAGACTAGATAATGTTACGAGCCTACTTCATAGTGATGAGCCTTATAAAACCGTAATTAAAATGAAAAACTCAGTAGTGAAGTTCGAAAGACTGATAAGATCATACTGAACGGATGCGACTCAATAGCATAAACATACAGCAAATATAATTGCTCCTACAATCTCCTGTTTAACTGAGATTCAAGAATATAATGCATGGTTATTGATTACGAAGGATTAGTAAACAGCAAAAATACAACTTATTACATGTATTCTTAGAGATTTAGATGAAAATACCTACATTATTCAAGCATATTTGTTTATAAACAGGGTAAACTATCAAATAGGATTGTTAAGACTCTGTAGCAGTATTATTCGAAGTACAAAGATGTTCGATGGTTAAATACCTCCAACCACTACTTAACATTTCAACACAGTGCATGCGTTGTCGACTCACCTAAACCAGTGGCTACAATGCAACTTGATTACCAATTATAGGACTAAACAAACATAGGATTGATCGCTTCTCAGAGATCTTACCCCAAGCCACTAAACTACAATGATAATACCTAATTAGGAGTTCAGTTTTTTTTTAAATTATGGATTAGCTTATACAAATAATATAAATTAAAACTCCATTATACGGTATAATACAATACATGTTACGTATTATGGCAATTTACGAAGATATGACGAAACTGTATTCACACAAGAATTACTTAATCAACTTCTCTAATCTTTCACTCTGCAAACAATTAGAAATACGTAATTACTGATATTTTCAGATCGCTTGGTATAAAACAGAAAACATTATAAGGACTACGGCAACATCAACTGGAGCGAACATGCCATTTTAATAACTTTATTCATCGCTAATGACTCGGTGCGTAAACCCATTACAAAAACATTAATCTTATGCCAAATGCACATATAACAAGTCGAATAGACACATGTCTTATGAATAATATGCATACACAAATTCATCAGGAAAGGAAGTGAAAAGACAAACTACAAGTATGTTTATAAGTTTGTATGTTACTTTATTGTTAAATTCATTTGACATAAAAAAAGAAAATTAACACAGGTTTGCAGAAAAATAAAATAGTAACATCAAATCATGAAGAATGGGAATTCAAGGACTTCACAGCGAGAGTTTAAAAAGTGGTCAATTGGTAGAATGAACAGAGTCTCTAAGTTTGTAAGGAGTAAGTGGAGACATATCACAATGGCTACTGACAAAAAAAGAATTCATATTAAATAATCAGAGAGATGATAACTGAAAATAATACATCAAGCGAAATATTGTACAGAGAAATAGAGAATAGTGATAGAGAGAGGAAGAAAATACCAAGATATTTACAATAACCAGCAATGTAATAGCATTAGATGTACAACAAAGAAATAAGTCAAGAATATAAACATTGCTTTAGGTCTAGGTTGACTTTGCAGACGAAATGATGTAAATCTTATACCACTAAACATTCTGGGTGTTAGTTGTTGACTACGTACAACCAACTGCTTCAATAAAACAGATAGCCAATCCTTTAGGTTAACTACAACAATAAGGATAATAAAAATAAAGTGGTATTATTGAGTAAAGAAAATAACTTTTAGTTCTATTCAAAGTTACATGAAACGCACAATCTTGAGGAGAGAATAAACTTTAATACCAAAAAAGGCAGCTAAATATTCAATATAACTGGTAGTATGATCAATGTTATGGACGGCTGTAAGGTTCCTGAAACGTTCAATATCATAATTTTTATTCCAGTAAACGCAACACATCGGAGTACTACGTTTTTACACTAGTAATATAAATGCTCCGGTGAACTAAGACCCTGAAAGTGAACAATTTTTATCAATCAACCTATTATTCCTATTGTCTAAACCTGTATTTTAAACCTGAATAGCAGCTGGGAAGGATTGCTCAGGACAGAGTTCGATGGAGAATGTTGCTGGGCTGCTTGTGCTCCTCCACGAAAGGTAACAGGCGTAAGTAAGCAAGTTATATGAATCTACTCAATGAAAAATTGGAGTAAAATATCTTAATAATATTATAAAATAACATATATATCTATAAGAAACTAATATCAGGTGAAACAGTCGATTTTATTCTTTAAATCTCACTGTTTGTTAATCGGTATCAAATCACCTTAATTTTTTTCCGATGGAGTAGTGGTTTGGAATTTCACCCACTAAGTGTCAGGTTGGAACCCCGAGCCCCGACTACTTCGGTTCAGGCAACTGGATGGTATCTCACTAGCTCTTACACTTGCAGTGTGGTTCATGCCTAAGTACTGGGTGAATGAGTTAACTGATCTTGAAACTTTTCTGACAGTTTCAACATAATAACACCCGACATTAAAGTGATACACAACATACAAAAATTAATCTATATTCTTTGCTCATAACCCAACTGTTATACAAATTGCATTTATTCAGTTAAAAGTAAGTTCGCACAAGTAGAATACGTTATACATTAAGTACAGTACAAAATCTTACTTAATTGATGTAAGGATTTAAATCTGATGGGTAGAGAACGTAGAAATGATTCTGTAGGTTCAAAAGACTGAGGAAGACCTCTCAAATCAACAACTGCTGATTCGTCTGTATAATTATTGTTTGGTTCATGTATTTTAATAGATATTTCCGATTTCCTAGAAAAAAATAACAAGCAAAAAAATATTCATATGATCTACACAATAATACACGTATTGCAAGTATCATTACCAAGGTTTGACTTGATAATTTCAAATAAATTGAGCATGGGGTAGATTGTTATAAATAAAAATAATGTGTTTGTAATATCCCAATGAGTAGAGGAATTAGATTTGCTGACGTTCCGTGACTCAGTGTAAGCCACTTCTTCAGAGACGTGGCTTTTACTCACATTTATAGTGTAAGCCCTAGTGATACGATTCGAGTCCAAGAATTGAATGTATTAAATAAAAAGCCACTGAATTATATACAATAATATACACGTAGTACAGACGTGTAAATGTACTGGAAGCTAACATCCTACAAAATTTTTAAACTTGCTACTGAAACTTACGAATCACGAATATCCATTGGAAATCTTAAGACTGGCTTAAGTGGAGTAGAATAAATTAAGAAAACAGGTATAAGATAATCAGATATTTAGTAATTTAATAGTTGAATCAATTAAAGCTAGACCACCTTGGAAAACCTGGAAGCACTGAAAGGCCGTCTTGTCCTAGTATGGAACTCCTCAGCAGTGTGCATCCACGATCCCACTCTTAGGATTTGAACTCACGATATTTGGCATTTGGAGAAAATCAGAGTAAATGTTCTTGGACCTGTATGGTCGATCATAACTTATGCCATTCAAGAAGTTCATGATCATCAATTACTATCGACCAAAGGATTATAATCTAGGTTTAATAGTTTGATGAATCCCTTAAAAAAGTAACCCAGTGATAATTCCATATGAAACTTACTTCAATTTAGCAAAGGTGGTACATAGAGGAAGAGAATATCTAGGTGTGTACGAAAAGTCTAAAAACACCTTAATTCAAGTGGATTAACAAGGGATTTTTGTTTATCACTTATCAGTTCAACATGGTAGTAAGTGAGGAGTTGAAATACAAGTCAAATATAAACACAACTAATGAAGGTATCAGGCGGAATTTTCTAAACAGGAAACTATTCCTAGAAGTTTGTTT